CCCAAGGGGCCCCCAGAAGGCTTTGACGCGGCCTCTAATGGGCCCCTTTTAAGGGCCTTTAAGAGGCCCTCAAAGGGCCTTTCAAGGGCCTAAAAGGGCCCCCAAAAGAGCCTTTAGAGGGCCCCTAAAGGGGTCTATAGGGGGCCCCTCTAGCGCTCTTTAAAGCCTTTTACATTTGTATAAGTCCCTGTAAGGGGCCCCCCAGCAGGTTGCCTCATGGGGCCCCCGTGGGGCCCCCAAAGGGGGCCCCACAGGAACCCGAAGGGCCCCGTAGCGGGGCCCCCGCAGGGGGCCCCCGTGGGGCCCCTTTGGGGGCCCCCAAGGGCCCCCTGACGGGTACAGGAGGAGCCATTCAAGGAAACTAGGGGGGCTTCCAATTGGGCTGAGTGGTGCTGGGGGGCCCCCTGGGGCCCCCATGGGGGCCCCCTTTTAGGGTTTTCTGTGTGGGACCTCCTCTGGAGACTTCGTATTGAAAAAATTTAGTCAAATAAGCCAAAGTTGAAATAAATTGGGGGCCCGTTGGGGCCTCCCTTGGGGCCCCTTGGGGCCTGCGTGGGGGACCCAGGTGGCTCTCCAGCAGGGGCCCTGCTGTGGCTGCTGCTGTTGCTGCTGCTGCTGAGCTGCTGTTGCTGCTGCTTCTGATAGTTCTGCTATTGCTGCTACTGCTGCTACTGCTGCTTCTGCTGCCGCTGCTAGTGCTGCTGCAAGTGCTGTTGCTGCTAGTGCTGCTGCTGCTGCTATAGACGTAATTTCACGTGCGTCGGGTGACGCCTGAGCTCCTATGGGTTCGGGGGGTGCTACTGCTGCTGCTGCTGCTACTGCTGCTGCTGCTGCTGCTGCTTCTGGAGTCTTGACGTTCCTTATCCGGGGCTCCCAAAGAAAGTCTCTGTGGCACAACAGCCGCAGCAGCAACTGTGGCAGCAACCGTAGCAGCAACTGCAGCAGCAGCGAGAACACTAATAGCAGCAGCAGCAAAAGCTCACTCAACACTAAAATGACAACAGCCACAGCAACAGCCACTGAAGGTGACAGCATCAGCAGCATTAGCAGCAGCAACAGTAGCAGCAACAACAACAGCAACAGCAGCAGCAGCAGCAGCAGCAGCAGCAGCAGCAAACCTCTGCTGGGAAGTGGCGCCTGTTGACAGTGCCCAAGAAGAGAGGAGAAGCCCTTTGGCTCTGTCCCAGATAGTCAATGTGGCACAGCTTGACGCACCTAAGCAGCAGCAGCAGCAGCAAGAGCAGCAGCAGCAGCAGCAGCAAGAGCATAAATGAGAGCAACACTAGGAGGACGAGGGGTGGAAAAGAAGGAGCAGCAGCAGTAGCAGGAGCAAAAGTGACTGCGACAGGAACAGAAGCAGGAGCAGCAGCAGCAGCAGCAGATGTGACAAAGCAAAAAAAGGAAGAGCAGCAGCACGTACAGCAGCAGCAGCAGTGGAACAAAGCAAGAGCTGCAGCGGTAGATGCCGCTGCAGCAGCAGCAGCAGGTACAGGTACAGCAGGAGCAGCAGTAGCATGGACAACAGCTGTTGCAGCAGTTGCAGCAGCAACAGCAGCAGCAGCAGAAAGTACAGCAGCAGCTGCAGCAGCAGCAGCTGCAGCTACAGCAGCAGCAGGGAGACAAAGCAGTTGAGAAAAAAGCCCAAAGGGATGCAAAAGTGAAAAAGACAAAAAGAGAAAAGGGAAATAAAAAAGGAAAGTAAAAAGAAACTAAAAAAGAAATAAAACGAAATTAAACAAGAAATAAAGGGAGATGAAAGGAAATGAAAAGAAATGAAAAGATTTCAAAAGAGATGGACGGAGATTAAAAGAAATAAAAAGTGAAAAGTCAAAAGGAAAGAAAACAATAATAAAGGAAAAGGATAAAAGATAAATGGAAAAACAAAAAAGATAGAAGATAAAAAGAAAAATGAAAAAATAAAAAAGAAAAAAATAAAAAAGAAAAGAAAAACAGAAAAAGAAAAGGCACGGAAAAGAACCCAAAAGGAAAAAAAAACGTAAAAAGACAAAAAAGACAAAAGCAAATACAAAAATAAAAAAGAAATCTTAAAAAGATAAAAGAACAGAAAACAGATAAAAGGAAATTACAAATGATAAAAAGAAATTAAAAGGAGTTTAAAAAGATAAAATGAAAAAAGAAAAAAGAAAAAAACAGACAAAAAAGAAACAAAGAATGACCAAAAAAGGCCAAGAAAAGGTTAAGAAACACCAAAAAAGCAACAAAAAGAAGCAAAAAGAGAATAAAAAGAAATTAAAAGAAATTAAAAGAAAGAAAAGAAAATAAAAAGAAGGAAAAAGAAGAATAAAGAAATAAAAATAAAAAATAAAAAACTCACAAAGGGTTGCCGCACAACATCCTCAGGGGGCCCCCCGGGGGGGCCCCACAGCAGCTGGAAAAAGAAGAGGGGCCCTCATAAGCAGCTAAATCAGCAAATAAATAAACCACTAATCGATTTGTAAATGTTATCCAAGGCTCGTGCGTCTCTGCAGCAGCAGCAGCGGCAGCAGCAGCAGCAGCAACGGAGCGAGGCGGTCAGGCTGGTGGCGCTGCTGCAGTTTTAGCAGCGACATAGCCCGCGGTAGCTGCTGCAGCTAGTGCAGCAGCAGCAGCAACAGCAGCAGCAGCAGCAGAAGCAACAGGAAAAGCAGCAGCTGCTGCTGCTGCAGCAGCGGAAACAACTTCAACAGAAGCAGCACCCAAAAGAACAACAGCAGCAACAACAGCAGCAGGACCACTGCCACAAAGAGCAGCACAACAGCAGCAGCAACTGCAACAGCAACAACAACAGCAGCGGCAGCAGCAGCAGCAGCAGCAGCACCTGGGAGCTTGAGTTGAATGCATGCAAACCGGCTCTCTTTCTGCACCAGTCCAAGCCAGGGGACGCAGGGTCCCAGCATAGCAGCCCTGAATGTATTAGCTGCTGCTGCTGCTGCATCTGCTGCTGCTGGTGCTGCTGCTGCTGGGGTGTCCTCCAGGTCTTCATCCAAAGGAGACAGCCGCCGCGGCACATCTGCTGCTAGAGACAGCAGCACGTTTTCTTTTGCTTCTGGAGAAAGCCACAAGTAGTTGAAGCGGCTAATTAAAGCAGCTTTTGCTGCACACAGAGCAGCAGCAGCAGCAGCAGGAGCAAGAAAGGGAGAGGGGTGCTGGTGCTGCGGATGAGGATGATGAGGGTAACCTGACGCTGCTGTTGCTGCTACGGTGGGCTGCTGTGGCTGCTGTTGCTGTTGCTGCTGCTGTTGCTGCTGCTCTTGCTGCTGCTGCTTCATCTGCTGCAGTTGCTGCTGCTGCTGCAGAAGTGTATCTGTGCGTTCTGCCCGTAGCACCTTTGCAGCGAGCTGCCCGCATCCCCAGAGCTAAAACCCCACACTTCATACTTCAAAGTTTAGGGTTTAGGGTTTAGGGTTTAGGGTTTAGGGTTTACCATTTATAGCATCTTGCAGATCTGCTGCTAGTCTTTTGCATTCTTCTTGAGTTCTTCTCAAACTCTGTTCTGTGGCCCCTTTTAGTTCCGCCATAAAGGCCAAATCTATTTCGCCGGGGGCCCCCGGGGGGCCCCCCAGCTGGGGGCCCCCGGGGGGGCCCCCCAGGGGGCCCCCCAGGCTGCTGCTGGGGGGGCCCCCCGCGGGGCCCCCCCCAGACGAGCCCGCGCTGGAGCGGCGCTTTCCCCACCAGTTCATCTTGGCCTGACTAGCTGGCTAGCTGGCTAGCTGGCTAGCTAGCTGGCTAGCTGGCTGGCTAGCTAGCTGGTTAGCTAGCTGGCTAGCTGGCTTGTATGTGGCTAGGCGGGTAGCTAGCTAGCTGGCTAGCTAGCTAGCTAGCCAGCTAGCTAGCTAGCTAGCCAGCCAGCTAGCTAGCTAGGTAGCCAGCTAGCTTGTGTGTGGCTGCACAGCCAGCTAGCCAGCTAGCCAGCTAGCTAGCTAGCTAGCTAGCTTGCCCTGTCTGGAGCGTCCAGCTGCTAGCTAGCTGGTTAGCTAGCTGGCTGGTTAGCTAGCCACCATGCAGCTAGTTAGCTAGCTAGCTAGCTAGCCAACAAGCTAGCTAGCCACAGTCAAAGCCTTGCAGGCTCAAGGGCCCCCAGGGGGCCCCCTGGCCCTCAGAGGGAATTCTTTGAAGCTGCTGCTGATGCGGCTGTTTGAGGCTCTACAGCAGCAGCAGCAGTAGCAACGACAGCAGCAGCAACAGCAGCAGCAGCAACAACAGCAGCAGCAGCAAGACACGGGCTGGCGAGACGGGAACAAGCCCAACAACAGATTTTAAAGGATAAATTAAAAGATAAAACTCAGGGGGCCCCCTTTTTAAAGCAGCAGCAGCAGGGGGCCCCCTGGGGGCCTCCGCAACAGCAGCAGCAAGGGGGGCCCCGGGGGCCCCCGCTGCAGCAGCGGCTATAGCAGCGCAGCAGCCTGACAGCTCTGTGTGTCTGTTGCAGTTAGTCCGAATGAAATTTAAGATTTAATTTAATTTAATTAATTAAATTGATTAAATTTATTTAATTAAATCTGCCACGTTGACAATCTTGGCACTGAGGCGGCGGCGGAAAGGAGAGAGACGCGCCGGTGTCACTAGACCACCTTGCTGCTGCTGCTTCCGCTGCTGCTGCTGCTGCTGCTGCTGCGCCGTTTTGCTGCGGGAGCTGCAGGAGCAGCGGGAGTGCAGCAGGCAGCGTTGCTGCTGCAGCTGCTGCTTGCTGAGCGGCGGCAGCAGCCGCAGCGCCCACCCCCAACCCTAAACCCTAAACCCTAAACCCTCGAGATGCCGCACTTTGTCCCCGTCTACGACCCCGAAAGGCCCCGCAGCGAGCAGCAGCAAGACCCTTCTCTCTTCAAACACCGCCGCTGGGAGCAGCCGCATGCGCTGCTGCAGCAGCCAGCGAAGGGGGCCCCCCGGGAGCCCCCCGAGGAGGGGGCCCCCCGCCAGATGCTTCCAAAGTAAGCTGCAGGTGCCCTTAATCCTGCTGCTGCTGCTGCTGCTGCTGCTTCATCCTCCAGGCGTGCGCTTCGTGTCTAAACCCAAAACCCTAAACCCTAAGACCTAAACCCTAAAGCCCCAGGGAGGCCCCTGCACGCCTAGGCTCGCAAACCGCGATTTAGGGTTTAGGGTTTAGGGTTTTTATTCCCCAGGCGCCCCGGCTCTATGGTGCTAAACGAGAAGGGCCTGTGGGTACCTGCGCCCCGAGGGCCCCCCGGGGGGCCCCCGAGGGGCCCCCAAGGGGGCCCCTCGGGGGGCCCCCACAGCAGACAAGACTGGGGGGCCCCCCGCCACCGTGAGGGGCCCCACAGAGACCGCAGGGGCCCCCGCAGCCGCAGCCGCAGCCGCAGCAGCAGCCGCAGCCGCAGCAGCAGCAGGAGGGTCCCCCGGCACAGAGGCAGGGAAGGCCACAGCAGCAGGAAGGAAGCAGAAAGAGATCGGAGGCCCCATCGGGAGTCCAGGGGTAGGGGCCCCTTCCTAAACCCTAAACCCTAAACCCTCAAGGGGCTAAGAGCTGCTTGCAGCTGCTGCAACTTGCAGCTGCTGCAGCAGCGTCTGCTGCTGCTGCCGCTGCTGCTTCCCCTACTGCCGCTGGTGTTGCTTGTGCTGCTTTGCTGCTGATGCTGCTGCTGCTTGTGCGGTGTGAGGAGGGGGACGTTGGGGGCTCTAGGGCTTAGGGTTTAGGGTTTAGGGTTTGTGTTTAGGGAGAAGTATATCTCCAGAAAGAAGAAGGCCTCCTGCTGACGACCCTTTTGACTATGTCACCCCCAAGCAGCGGCGGCTGCAGCAGCAGCAGCAGCAGCAGCAGCAGCAGCAGCCGACGAGAGGGCGGGTCGCCGCCCCGCCGCATCCCAATTCCAGGTACAGGCGCTAGCTGCGTCAGCCGCAGCAGCAGCAGCAGCAAAGCAAGAGCAGCAACAGCAGTGAAAGCAGCAGCAACTGCAGCAGCAGCAGGTTATGTGCATTGACACTTAAGTCAGCAGCATTCACATTTCTGCTGTGGGGCCCTCAACCTGGAGCTAGAGCAGCAGCAACAGCAGCAGCGTCTGCAGCAGCAGCTGCAGCAACAGCAGCAGCAAGTGGTTCTCCTGCTGCCGCGCAGCTACCATGTGGGGTTTGTGGGGTCCAAACCCCCTATGAAACCTCCCAGCTGTTGGGGGCCCCCCGGGGTGCCCCCAGGGGCCCCCCATGGGCCCCCTGGAGGCTCCCCGGGGGCCCCTTGGGCCCTTTGAGGGGCCTTTCCAGGTGAGGGGGCCCCCTGTGGGCCCCCGAAGCTTACTGGGGTCCCCCAAGGGGGCCTCGAGAATTGGCAAGGGGCCCTTTTGGGGGTCCCCCCTGGGGGCCCCTTGGGGGCCCCATGGGGGCCCCCAAGCGGGCCTTTGGGGGCCCTGGGGGCCCCCCTGGGGAGCCCTCAGCACATGGCAATGTGTCATATTGAGCTGTGAAGTTTGGTTTTACTTTTCTTGTCTCTTGATTCATTTTAAACTCAATTCACAAGGGGGCCCCCGTGGGGGCCCACAGGGGCCCCCTGGAGGCCTCTGGGGGCCCCCAGGGAGCCCCCCGGGGCCCCTCCATATATGTGGATGGCCCCCTTTGTCTCCCTGTAGGTGGAGACTTGCCTGCGGGGGCCCCTCTAAAGGGTACTGCCGTCCAAGGGTCTCCAGGGGGGCCCCCCTTAGGGGCCCCCAGGGGGGCCCCCCTTTGGGTGCCCCCCAGGAGAGCTGTTCTTCTTGAGGGGCCCCCCTTAGGGACCTCCAGGGGTCCCCTACTGAGGGGCCCCCAAGGGAGCCCCCAGGGGGGCCCCCAGGGGGCCCCTCATTGGGGGCCCCCCTTGAGGGGCCCCTAGAAGTCATGGAAAGGGTCTTCTGGGTTTTGGGGGTCTTCCTGTGGCTGCAAACAAAATGAAACTTTGATTTAGTAGCAAATTAAAAGAAGTTGAAGTTATTTAAATGATTTAAGTGGTTCAAAATGATTTAAAATCATCTAAAGTTGTTTAACGTTGTTTATTTAAGAAAAGAAAATCTAATTATTCATTTGAGACACAAAAGTCAAACTAGGAAAGGCCCTCTGGGTCGCCAGAGTTGCTGCTGCTGCTGCCACTGCTGCTGCTGCTGCAACTGCTGCCATTGCTACTACTGCTGCCACTACTGCTGCTGCTGCCACTACTGCTGCTGCTGCCACTGGAGCCGCTGCTGCTATTGCTCGTGCTGCTGCCACTGCTGCTGCTGCTGCACTGCTGCTGTTGCTGCTGCTGCTGCTGCTGCCTATACTGACCTGGTCTTGGAAAACGAACAAACTTTTGTCAGCTGAGGGTACTGCAGCAAGAAGAATTCCTTCAGCTTCTTTGCTGAGGGCCCCCTGGGGGGCCCCCAGGGGCCCCCAGGGGATTCCTGAGAAAAAGGGGTGGGCCTTCACTTCTGCTGCTCCCCCCTTTGTACCCAGTCGAACTGCAGGGTCTGCCTGCAGCAGCAGCGCAGCGGCAGCAGCAGCAGCAGTAGCAGCAGCGGCTGAAGCAATTGAGCAGCTGCAGCAAGAGCAGCTGCAGCTGTTGTGTAACTGCAGCAGCAGCAAGGGAGGCAACGGGAGCCCTCAACGCCGCAGCACAATAGCAGCGCCAGCAGCAGCGAGGAAGTGTAATACAAATAGAAGCAAGCAGCAGCAGCAGCAGCAGCAGCAGCAAACCTGCAGCAGCTCCTTAATTATGTTTTTTGCATCCCTGGGAAATCCTTTGGGGAATTTAAGCGACGTCGGAGATCGCGCGGCCAATTCGCTCACACGCAACGAACTGCAGCAGCAGCAGCAGCAGCAGAAGAAGAAGAAATGAAGGGCAGCAGCAACAGAGCTGCAGCAGGACGGGAGGTTCGTCACCAGCAGCATGAAGCAGCTGCAGCAGCAGCAGCAACAGAAAGCAGCAGGGAGCCCTCTCAGCCTCAGCAGCAGCAGCAGTTGCTGCTCCTGCTGCAGCAGCAATTGCTGCTCCCGCTGCAGCAGCCCCTTCCCTAGACAAAGAACCTCCTAGGGGCTCCCAGGGCCCCCAGGCCACCCTGGGGGCTCCCAGGGGCCCCCAGGGGGCCCCCAGGGGGGCCCCGGGGGCCCCCAGCCCACCCTAGGGGCCCCCCGCTGCTGCTTACGGGTCTTTTTCATAATCTTTGTAGCCAAAGGGTGCAGAGCTGCAGACAAGCAGCAGCACATCTGCTGCACCCAGTCAGCAGCAGCAGCAGCAGCAGCAGCA